CAAATTTATACTGCTTTTGCTCTCACCCCAATTGACGTCATTTCTGTCTTCTTATTTGTCCAGACCGCCTGTTGTACGCATTCCCCTTCCGTCCCAGCCCAGAGGGGCGAGGAGCCTCTGTAGGTGAATTGCCTGCACGCCTCCACTCCCTCCAAATTCGTCTACTTGGTGTTGTTGGCTGATTGGACGGTGGAAAAAGCAAGAGGATGGAGGCCCTTAAAACTGATTTATTTTTAACGTCTGCTTGCAAGCCCACAGAAGCACTCATGGGGAACAATGGCACTTGAAATGACTTTGCTCCGGGAGAGATTGGCTATACCACCTTACATTGCCATGGAGATTGAGTGGTTGACATTGATTGACACCCTCCGTTCTACTTTGACAAGTAAGTGAGCTTTATGTAGAAATTTGTTTTAGGCAATGTTGAACTCGTAATTGACAATTATGATTGAGAGATTTGAGAGAGTAAAATGACGACGGCAGCAGCGGCATCCACGTCGTCTTTTCACCTGCCGACCACCCGCATCTTCTGTCCTCTTTTTCGCCAAGTGTCGTTTTATTTATTCTTCGTGTGCGAGGGCAAACGTGTGTGTGTGTTCGTGTGTGTCCTCCTTTTCTGTCTACTTTCGCTCACCCACTCACTCACTCACTCCCTCGCACTGCGGTGGTGGTGGCATGAAGTAGCGATTTTGTTGTTCTCTCCTCTGCACACATCTTGTAACATCATCCCTCTCTGACTCTACCTCTGACCTAACCTTCGCGGGTGGGATTTGTGGTTAGGTCGGGAAGGTTGTGAGTTGCATCAACTTCTTTAGTTTGGACTAAGGGCAAAAAAAAACGCCTGTACCAATGTTTATCGGTGGTGGCTAGACACATATCATAAATTTACCGACTTCACAGACAAATTAGCGCATTTGTTTTCTACTTTTGGACCTAAAATTTGCCTCTTCAGTGCTTAAAAAATGTTATTGTAAGCCTTGGAAAGCCTGAAATAAGTGGAAATTTTGATAGGATTCGTAGGCAAGCACAGGGATTAACAACGCATCGTTCATTCATTGTCAAAAGATGCATTCCCTCTAAGTAATTAATACAATGCTTGACTAAGACTGCTTAACTCGGCCTTGAGGAAGTTCTCAATCACCTGAACCATTTGGTGATCATCACTGTAGATTACTTAAATCGGACGGGAGGTGGCAGTCCTGTCAAGATGGACAAAAATAACTTCGTGATATGGAGGAAAAAGTAGTCTGGGATCAAGATTGATGTGGGTAATGCATCGACAGCTCTATTACTCCACCAATCGTACGCCTTCGCACTTGCGCGTTATTTCATCCAATCGCAGCACGAGCTAGATTGCAGCAAAAGGTAAACCTCATTCAATTTTCAAATTTCTAACTGATATACACCTCCATTTGGTGTTTTATCTTTCGACCTGCTCAGCACGACCATTGTTGTAGTGAACAGCTCGAAAGTGGCCTTTGCAATCAAAGCGATTCAATGACCGAAACCTTCAATGGGAACATGTAGTTAATGTCAGGCCAGCATTTATCTCTTCACCGCACAAAAAGTCGTTTTATTTGCCAGCCTGGGGAGGAATAACTTGCCATAAATGCCTCATGTCAGGCTAGTTGTCAGAAAGTGAGTGAGCGAGCGGGAAGAAGGAAGGGAGGAAGGAAGAAAGGGAGGGAAGGAGGGAGGGTAGAAGTGAATGCGTGGGAAAGCGAAAACTGCTAATCAGTCAGCCACAAAAGTTGGCAGATTTCCACCAATGAAGATGCCTTCATGAAGACATGTGAATCACCATTCACTACCCATCGATAATTGGTTTCAAACAAGCAGACACATGACCTTCTATCAATGGTAATAATTTAATCCATGCACTGGTCCCATCATCAATCCACCACATCCAAAGTTTCTCTCGTCTATGCAGGGCATCATATTGGCATTCGCTCAACTCAGACAGGCGCCTTTAGACTTATGGCGCCTATCATGTTTGGATTTCTCCGGCAGGTACCTACAAAATGAGTTCACCTGCTCTTAAAACAACTTTGTGATGCACAAAGTTCAAAGGCAGCGCCGAGTACATAACAATGTTTTATACGACCTTTGCAAGGGATTCACTGAAACGAAACCTAAATTAATCATGGTTAAAAAAGAATCGCAAGACCAAAAGGCCTTAAAAAGAGTAATTTAAAGATTGGTTTAAAGCTAGCGCATGGCCGATCAACTCATAAAAAGAAATTATTTTCGTTTGATTTCCGTCAGAGAGGCTGGAATAAGTAATAAAAAGGTGCTTATCATAATAGAAAGCATACGGTTTAAAAAACTTAATGCAGATTTTAAAGAATGCAACTTTACAGAACATGGTGAAACCAAATTTTCCTCTACTGATTCTGTTGGAATCTGACAAATCTGGCCAATCGGTCGCATTTGGGCGGTCGGAGTCGCTTTTCACCCTTTTTAACGCATCGTAACTCATGAAAGTTAAAGCATATACTCAGAGGTGCGTGTACAAAAGAAGTCGAATGACATTATAGGTGAGAAAAGGAAGATGTAATGGAAACCAGAAAGGTGTCAGTAGCATGTCAAAAATTGCCAGTTGTCCATTAGGAAGGTTTTCGACGCCAGACAAAATGCCATACCAAGGCAAGGGCGAGGGAAGACGAAAGGTCGTAAAAACGTCGTCAGAAAACAGTCGATTTATCCGTCAAATCTCGCTGACTCAGGCAACCATGGACTGAGAGTTTTATATGGCGCCAAATGCATGGAAAAAAGGGAAGAAGATTTTACTTTAAAGGTTACACAGTGGTTAGTATGTTTTATGCAGCTAATGTAATGGAGGCATTTCTACGCAAAGGGGCAAAACGTAACAAGACTTTGTCACAGTCATTGAAACTGTCAAGCCTGTGTGTGTGTGTGTGCAGGAATGAGGAGTTGCTAAAATGGCGGCTCTTTAGTTGGATTTGCTGCCATAATTCGCATTTTAACTCGTTCCCTATTTATCAACCTGGTGACTCCATTCTCTTCTGCCGATGAAAAGGAGTGCAGGAAGTAGGAAATAAATACCTGAGAGGTGAAAATGGTGAGGGAGAGGAGATGTCAGCACACAAAATCAGGGGTTAATGCAATAGGAAATGTCATATTTCTTAACCTGACATCCATTATTGTCAGATAAGTGGCATTCCCTGCTAAAGATATTCAATGCATATCTGAGTGCCCATAAGTCGGTGGAACGAAGTGTCGTGCATGATAATCGCCTACTGATCGTAGCAAATGTAGGAGGTAGATACAATCTTTTATACAAAAAAGCTTGTGCTGCCAACTTCAGCCAATTCCATTGCTAAGACGTAGTATCTGCCTAATTCCACCTTAAATGGCACCTGAAGAGTCTGCCTCCTCCTTCTGGGCGCTCTATCTGGCCTCAGAGTGCACAATAAAGGACATAGGAGTGGGGCAGATGAGAAGAGGGTGCCCATTTTTCCGTCCAGAGGTCGAATTTTACTGCCTTGTTTATGTGACCACCTGACGTCTGGCGGTCACTTTAGAATTTTTCTGGTCGCTGCACACGTGGACTGGCCTTCGGGCCAGGCTCAGGCCCCATTTGCCCTGCCGTCTTCGGAATACATGTATTCAACCTCACTTGTGCCTTCTTCCACCCTATGGGAAGCCTCAGGACGCTACAGAAGTGGTTAAAGTGTAACTTCTATCACTCCCCTAGAGGGCACCCTTTAAACAACACTCCCTTCACACCAGTCAAACCAAAAAGCCATCAACCGCCGTATCAAGAAAACAACTCGTTGGGCGTTAAGGCGAGAAGGGCAAACTTAATTTTATTATAGCAAAGCCTCTTCTACATTAACAGCTTTGTAAGTTTTACTTTGTCCCCATTTTGCAAGCAGCCAATCGCAAAAAAGGCCTATCCATTGCATTCAACTACCTCTCTCCCACATTCGGTGACAAATGTGGTGGAGTCGAATCACCTCTGGGGGAGAACATTGCAGCAGAAAATAAAGATTAACCTCAATGATTTATTTATGTGCAATGGGATTGCGTTTTATCTCACCGATTTGGAAGTAAGGTCTACGAAGGCTTGAAATCGCGACAGGCCGAGGGCGGCACTCACGTGACCCGGCGGAGTGCGAGAGGCCACGGAGGCAGACCAAGGAGGCGTTGAGACGAGGTAAGCGCGGTGCAAAATCAAACAACTCATTCATTCATTGCAAAAAAGGGAGGCTTATCACAACTACGAGCCTTTTCGCCTCAATATTGTAAAATAAGAAATGTTAAATTTTGGTGGGAGAAAGCACTGAGGCATTAAGAACAGTTGTCGCATTGGCAAACGCCAATTAAGGGAAAATCTTTGAATGCATCACTCAGGCGAGACCACCACCACCACCGCCCCCTCTCCCCTCCCCACCACCCCATAATCGTGGGCTTAATTAAGCCCTCCACAGTCGAGTTCACACACTTTGCACAGAAGAGAAAGGATCCGTTGTAGACTTTACTGTATTTGAGAATGTTTCATGGGAAAATGTATTGCCAAGATTTCGAGATACGGAATGTGGAGAGGCGGAAGGCGAATGCGAGGAGAGCGGGGCGGGGGAGGAGGGAAGGAAGGGCGGCGCTCACTTTCACACCTCCTGGAACCCTAGTAGTCGGCCAAATTACATTATCAATTAGAAGAAAATTGTCTTTGGAATGCTGTTAGCTACCTGCAGCATGGAGGGAGAAGTTATTGTTCCTGCTGGTGAGTAAATCGAGGAGAAAGCGGTGGAGGTGAGGAAGGAGGCACTTCTATACAGGTAGAGCATTTACACGACTCGCTTCGAGTAAAACTTTTTCAAGAGCATCTTTTTTGTTAAATTTTGAATTTCCTGCTGCTTTTTCATGTTCTACTACAGCTGTCAGAGTTTCATCATCAGTGTCGGGAACTAGAAGTCCATCTTGATGTTGAAGATGCTTTGGAAGACGACTATTCCACGTGTTCCATTGCTCTTGACACTTTGGTTCATGCCATCCCCACGAACTTTTGGTGTATCGACGACCACAGATGTAGCAGGGCTTTCCAGGTGGTCTGGAAGGTCCTCGTTTCTGCTTTTCAATTGCAGCTTCAATTGCATTTCGTCGTTTTGCCTCCTCGGCTTGGCGTATAGCACAAACCTTGAGATGAAAGTCCAATGATCTTTTTGTATAAATTCTTTGACACGAAGGACACTCTACATTGGTAAAATTTGTGGAGTTTGACACTCCACTACTACGATGATTGACTTTAAATGATTGTTCGCCTTCGGGGTTGTGGTAGTTTGTGCCAACTGGTTCAGAACTTCTAAATCGACGAGGCACACTTTTACCCAACTTTTTGCCCCTCCTCCCGTGAGTGGATCGAGGTTTTGACGGAAGTGGAAACACTTCTACACGGTTTGTGTTGATTCGCCTTTCTCTTGGTCTTATTTCTTGACACACGGGAAGGAGATTGAATGTCAAATTAACACTTTTCAGCATTGCGGTCAGTGTTTCAAAGGCATGACGACTTGCGCCTCCGTGTCGTGTGAGGTAATTTGAATCTCGTGGGTGTCACGTGATGTGCGTCACATTGAACCAACGTGGAGACGTCAGATTGTGCCTTCGTGGTGCTTGCATCGCCAAATCCTGACACTTGGCAATACCTCACGACAAAGGCAGACATGATAGAATGTCTGTGTCATTCGCATCACATCACTTTGGTAGGTAAATTTGTTGAATGCGTCTTCACGGCCTCTAGTGATTGTTTGCCCAAGACGCCCTCCTATGGTAAAAGGGAAGCGAGTGTGGAAGGCGATTTCCTTGAACTCCGTTTCGGAAGTATTTCGTCTAAATAAAGTCACTTTCGTGGGATCAATGGGGGGAGGGGTGGGGAGGATGAACGAGTCGTTGTGGTGAACAGTTTCAACGCATTTCAACACAGTCCCAACGTGCTGCTCATTTTGTTTGGTCTTCGCTTTGTTTGGCCATTTGTGAGGTGTCGAGAGGTGCTTTTGCCGCTTCAGACGCCACAATGTAACAAGTGAGTGAACATGCATTCCATCAAAAAGGCTTGACAGGATTTTTTTTGCGATTTTAAGAGCCTTCGATGGTGTTTTCATCGGTAGTGGTCAGTTTGCCTTAAGTCAAGGATGAGATGTAAAAGCGGAACCAACCACTACTCCCCTGACACTTTCGTATTGTCATCTTTTGAAGATGACAAGTGGATCGCCTGTCCTCGTGGCAGGGACGGAGTCGAGTCGGACATTGTTGAGGTGCCTTGCTCGGCTGTCTCATCGACGAGGCTTTGCTTGCTGAATAGGCACGTCGACTTAGCACCTCTCCTCTGTGTCCTCTCTCAACTCACCAGTCGCAACTTTACGCGATGAGGGAGGCACAGGGCAAGTGTTCGGTGCTTCCATCACTCTGTTGCCTTCCAACACAAGTTGACAGGTGTGATTGTGACATTGAAACCTTCCATTTCCACCTCAAATGAGGCCACCAAACCTCCGGTCATCGTGACATCGTCGTCTCGCTAACTTTGGCATTGTGGTAGGTAGACAAGAAAGTTGTTTTTATTTTTGATTTTCATAAAACAAAAAAAAACCTTGTCATCCTTCTTCGTTCACTTTTCGTCCGTCTTGACCGAACTCGTATTCGACGTTTTTCCAATTTGTGGGGCTGTTGTCACCGAAAGGAGGAGAAATTTTTATTAAACTGTCTTTATAAAATTGTCGTAATGGATTTGTGCTTAATTTCAAACTAAAAACAGGGCGACTTATTTTGTCCCAAAGGTTGGAATTGGGTTGGGTAACACGCCAGCAGGACGGAAACCAAAAGTTGCCAAAGGCAGTAAGGAGGTGAGGATTGTTTCGCCTCGGGTGTCTACCAAAGGGGAGCAAATCGAGGGGAAGGGGGAGGGGAAAGGTGAGGAATGGAAAGGGAGAAAAGGAAAGCAAAGTGCCTCAGATTCATTACTTTCGCCAAATGTGTGTCTTAGACACAACTTTTTTACCTTTTTAAGGCCCAAAGCGAGATGAGGCAGCTGGGGGGTGTACATTTGACTGTGAAAGTCATGCTGAAGGTGTCGATAGCCTTGTATGACGGTTTTTCCGCTCCGCCTGGTTTGCGTGCTTTCAAAGGCACTCCCTCACGACTTCAGCATAAAATGCTGTCGACGAGAAGTTGCCTAAGATGGTGCAAAGAAATTCGCTTTGCCCATTGCTGAGTTGACACAGAAGAGGGGTGGAGACTGAAGGCGGATTTTTAAGTGACACCTAAAATTACCCTTCTTTAGCATCGCCTTTCACTACCGAATTGGCCTTCAAGTCGACACCTGTTTAGTAATTAACTGTCAGAAGAATTGACAAAAGAATGAACTTTTATGCTGACCTTCATAAAGAAAAGATGACTTAAAAGTAAGAAGTTATATTTCTTGCTTTAGGGAAATAAAAATAAGCTCCAGTGCATGCACACTGCAGAGGCAAGCACGCAAGTGACGAGCTTTCGGTGGTGCCGACTTTGATGGCAATAAATGGA